TTGGATGAATTCCCTCGCAGGCTGTTAGGGAAGCAGGGAATGGCAGTTTGGGGAGGGCCACTAGGCCCCAGGGATGAAGACAAATAGAGAAATTACATGAGCAAGGGATGAAGACAAACGGGGCGATGAAGACATGAAAAGAGGCTGAGCGGCGTCTCGATGGCCCATTAGAAGACAAGAGCCCGACAGGGGAAGCTGTAAAACAGCCCAGCTGTCTGACAGGAGAGATTTTACCTCAGTCTGATCCTAAATCTGATTAGACTCGTCTCAATTCAAAGTTGAGCCGTGGGGAGGATGAGAGAGGGATCACCACTTCTTTCTGCCTTTAAATTCAACATGTCAGCCTGAATTTTTCCTTATAGAGAATCAAGTATGAAGGGGCCTCGTGTATAAACGGTGCGTACACATAAAAAAGTTGCGTGCTCCACATTCTACGCCCACGTTGTGATGTATAAAAACCAACGTTGCGTGAAAGTCTGCGTATATTTACGCACACTTTTCACCTGCTGTGAGAATGTGCGGCAGCCACGCAAAGTTTTTCAGTCGACAGTTTTAACTCACAAAGTCATGAATCTGACCTGAATCCACAGAAATATGACTCTGTTGTGTTTTCTGGATGTAAGGAGCGTCTGAACACGGCGTTAGATTTTTATTTTAGTTTGAGTTTTTATTGTTTAAACTGAACGATCATGAAACTGAAAATCATTTAACCTCAGACAAGAAGATAGATCAGTCTAAAAATGATCAAAGAACCTCAGTCCAGTCTGTGAACTGTAAAGTTTTTAATTGTTGTCACGTAGTTGTAAACACACACAGAGCGCAGGCCTGCAGAGCGCACACACAGCTGAGGAGAATAAAATGTGTGTATTGTCTAAGAAACATTTTTAAAAAACGTTGTCAACTCAGAATATTCAGCTGTGATGATTCCTCTGCTCCACAATAGATTTATTGCTGCGTAAAGTTGTGTGTCTGGATGTATCAGCTTTTCCCAGTCCCACACTGCGAGTCTCACTCCCCCCACGTCAACATATTGACGCTTGGTCAGGTAGTCTTTTGCGTCCAGCTTCGATGTGCCGGGTACCCCCCGTGCGTCAGCTTTTTACGAGATGAGGTGGAGGAGGACAGGCGCGTTGTTCTATTTTTGTACAAGAGTAGGAAATGTGCGTTTCTTCACATCAACTTAAAGAGTAACTTACCCCAAAATTAACTTTTTTAGCTGATAAACTGTCTAGAATGTGTCTAAAATGTTATATAGTACTGTTTCTGTGC